CAGTCATTTGAAGATGAGAAGTAACAATAGTATGCCAACCCACTTATGTATAAACATTAAATTTCAGCCCATCTTCTATGACAGTCTGCTGGGAGAAGCAGTAGAAATTCAGCAAGCATTTTTTAACTCATGTCTTTATAAAACCTCCAACACCTGCAACTACCACCAAGGAATAATTTTCCAAAATCAGATTCTGATTTTTTTTTCCCCTATACTCTACAGAACTCCCACCCAATCCAACCACATCAAATTCTCCTTCCCAGCTTGCCAGCTCTTTCCCATTTGTTAAAATGTCTGAGCCATTTGCAAAAGCATTCCTTAAAAGCTAATTCTCTGAGACAGTCACACAAAAATTTATGACAGCTGAATGAGACTGGGGTATTTATTATTCCAGGGCAAATGAAGCAGTAACCAAACCTGGATGGTCTTTGTCTTGCACTTCACTGGACTTTCCCATTGCTTCTTGGGCAGGGAACAGAGGTGGGGAGAGAAAGTCAACAAAAAAGAAGTTGTGTCCCAGTACAAAAGTCCTTCAGCTGCAGACAGATGAGATCCTGAAGTATGAAGTGTCCAATACAGAACAGATTATGAGAAGGGTAGGTAAGGGGGCTTACCCTAACCCGAGTACCCTTTTTTCCTCTCTTCTACTTTCAGTTCATGAGGAACTGACCCAAATAACCACCCGCACACAGCTGAATCCAGCAGCCAGAGGAAGAGACTCAGCTCAGCAGACAAGGGCAACACCTGCTTGCTGGAGCGGAGACCTCTGTGAGCACCACAACCTTCCCATTCACTATCACAACCCATCAACGCAGCGGCTACCCACACTTGGGACTACAAAGCCACGTTTTATTTCTAGGACAGAAAGCTGATGACCTAAACCAACATTCCTCCACCCAAGACAACCTGGGTTTAAGAACAAAAGCACACAAGAAAGTTTCATGAGCAGCCTGTCAACCCTTCTTGAAGTGGAAATGTTTAGAAACCATTGTAGCAATGCACCAACACAACAAGGAAAAACAAGCGTAGCAAATGCCTAACTTCTGTTTAGTTTTCAAAGAACAGTTATATAGGAAAAAACACATGCTTCTATGGCAAAACTAGGCAGTAAAAAACTTGTAATACAGCTTCAATTCCAACCCAACAAGGGAAAATAAAACTTCACATTTCACAGCCAAAGAGGTTTTGTTTTCAATGTTATTTTGGTTTTTGTTGGTTTTTTTTTTTTTTTTAACACATACCCCAGAGTAGGCAAATACTTATGGGAATGGAGGGGGGAGAGGCCTTAGCAGTGAAACAAATCATACTCCCTGCAAACCATAAAACCACAAACTTGTTCAGAAGACTGATCCGTGAAGTCTTGTTTTGAAACATCATGACCTGGATCCAGTCTGGAATACTGAATGCAGGTGAAAATGATTAACAATAGCACAAAAAAATTCTTAGGGCAGCCTTAAGAGTGAACTCATCAAGAATGATCTGAGGCTGGATGCAGTCTTGGCATGCTTGTGACTCTGTGGGCCTTTACTTGACCCTGGGAAGGAAACCCTACTCTCAGGAATAAAAGTTTCCGTGAAACATCTGCTGAAAAATTATTCTCTGACAGTTTAACTTAGTATCAAATGACATACACTCTGATGAGCTTTACAATTGCTATCTTCTCTAGATGAAATCCAGGGGATTAAAAAATCCCCACAACTCATTTCTGTAATACACTGAATATTGAGATACTAGAAGGAACTATCAGAAAAAAACCACCACCAGTATTCCCTCCTACGTCAGACCTTTTCACAAACAAATAATAAATAATCTGAAAGGAGAGCAGGGAGATTAAGAACATAAACTTTACACACATTCTATAAATGATTATCGTTTGGTTTTTGCTCTGTTATGGTTTTTAAGCAAATGCCAAGTTCAATATTTACTTTGACAGAGCCTGCACGCAAAATGATGTCTCCCGTATGGCAGACTTCACTTGCACAGCAGACCAGGATTAATGCAACTTGGATGACTACATCAAGGAGGACAAGACTGTCCAGAAAGAATAGCACAATCCTGTATTTTCAAAACATAATTGTTATAGCTCAACACAGGTGACTCTCTGCAGCTAAATACAGCAACACTGAACCGCAAACAGCTTTGAGGGCTGACAACACCACTCAGCTAAATTCTACTGCACAGCAAGGATAGTTAGGTTTTATGTGTAAACAGTAAACAATTAGATAAAATTCATGTGTTGGGGCAGGTAGAGAATGGGGACTGGCAAAAGAAGAAAAAAACTATATTGATATCCATGACTGATACAAGCAGAAACATTAGTAAGTTTAAATGCAGGATTTTTATCATGCAAAAGTGAAGGAACAAATACTATTTTGAACAATTAATTAGATTAGAGCAAATTCACAAAAGAAGCAGTCACAGATGTGACAGTTGGATTTGCACCACCCCCCAAAGGCCATTGCAAAGATATCTGTATCATCTGATTCACCATTCCTTTTCCCATGTCACAATGACTGATCGCCAGCATAATGAAACAGTAGTAGATGCTAATTGTTAGTAATAGCGTTTCTTGCTACCTACATGTCCCTTTACTCTGGGTTCTGAGACACAGCACAACACTTCTTACCATTTCGCAGACAACTTCCTATGTATCAGACACCTTTCTGCTACATAAGCTACATCCCTCAGGATGAAAAGTCTGTGGGGAAGAGGAAGCGTGTAGCAAATCCTAACAGCATTACCATCTTGACAGAGCAAATTCAAGAAAAACAAGTAGCTAATTTCTCTCTACTCAACTCCTGTAAGTCAAGTTACATATTGTTTTAAACTTTCCTATCTCACCCCCTACATAGGTTTCCACAATATAAAGGAACTTGTAAAGCTTTTTAGGATACAAAGAAGGGAATCAGCTCCCCTTCACAGGTTCCTGGGTCTACACAACGTGTCCCCATAAACGTGCTTTTAGTCAGCAATGTCTGCAACGCACATGATTCTGATTTTACAGCCATGTCTCATTTGACTTTTGCATATGGCTCCTTAAGGTATCTGCAGTGTTTTACTACTTCTCTAGTAAGTTTTTCATATCCTTCTTCCCTTTTTTTCCTTTTGTCACACTTACCCAAGCAGATAATACACTTTGTTTCCTCCTCAATTTAGCTTCTTAATACTGAAGCCATGAAAAGCCAAAATCAAAACTCAGTAGTCTTGGTGACTATTAAGCAGGTATTCTTTACTGCAGTGCTGGACACACCGGGGATTGCTCCTAATGTGTGCACCGCACAGGGTTAATTGCATAGTTTATATACTAATTTTACATACATATTCATTACATTCCTCAGAAAAGGCAGGGATAGGCAAATTAATTCCTGGAAATCATTTACATATTCTCCTCCCAGTTGCATATGCTCAGTGATTTAAGTCGGGTGGTCTTCAGGGGTTGTTTACTTCATCCACTTAATCCACTCCTCTTCTTCACCTTGTCCTTTTGGTGAACTTTGGGTTTTACCCCCCTTTTCTGCTGTCAGAACAACACAGCCGGTACCTGCCAGCTCCCCAACCTTGAAACATTCCCCTTTACCTCCGTATCTCATGGTTCCCATGTCTGGCTATCCTCATATTGACAAAATGCTAGATATTTTGTCCCCTACATGCCTTCCAAGGCCAGCAACAAAGATAGGCAATTTACTAAGAATGTCTCCTGGTTTTGGCTGGGATAGAGTTAACTTTTTTCCTAGTAGCTGGCATAGTGGTGTGGTTTGGATCTAGGATGAGAAGAATATCGATAACACCCTGATGGTTTAGTTGTTGCTCAGTGGTGCTTACACCAGTCAAGGACTTTTCAGCTTCCCGCGCTCTGCCAGGTGCACAAGAAGCTGGGAGGGAGCACAGCCAGGACAGCTGACCCCAACTGGCCAGAGGGCTATTCCAGACCATATGATGTCATGCTCAGCATAGAAAGCTGGGGGCAGAAGAAGGAAGGGGGGGACATTCGGCGTGATGGCATCTGTCTTCCCCAGTAACCGTTACACATGATGGAGCCCTGCTTTCCTGGAGATGGCTGAACACCTGCCTGCCAGTGGGAAGCAGGGAATGAATTCCTTGGTTTGCTTTGCTTACATGCACAGCTTTTGCTTTCCCTATTAAACCGTCTTTATCTCAACCCACAAATTTTCTCAATTCTACCCTTCCAGTTCTCTCCCCCTTCCCACTGGGGTGGAGTGAGCGAGCGGCTGCGTGGGGCTGAGTTGCTGGCTGGGGTTAAGCCGTAATAATACCTTAGTTGCATCCTATTATCTTCTTTGAAGTTGATTATTCATCTTTCACACCCTTTAAAAGCAATCTCTTAAGCATGAAATCTTGTGGGAGAAAAAGTCACAAGGCATCTGAAAGCGAGTACTTCATTAATTACCAAAATAAATACATCTGAATTATTACCATCAATTGAAGTCCTGCCCTCTGATTTTTTTGGCTCTGAAATCTTATGCTGTTAATGCAATTACTTTATTCTCTGGACACAATAAACAAGCAAGTTCTTAAGATGCAGCAGTCAACAGAAGCCAAACACAGTCCCTTTGCTAGGCAGAGAAGCTTTACCATTTTCCCAGTAAGACGTAATTGCTGTAAAAAATTTGGTGGTGTACAGAGTTCTTTAGTATGACACGTAGTATGGTTTTCTGAGAGCACTGATATCAATCAGTCACCCCACTCCATTATTGTGAGGGTTCCAGGTAATGACACACAAGTAAGAACATCTAGTAATATTTAAAGAATGCAAATAACTGCTCTTCAAAGACAGATTATCCACAGCTGCTCATAGCAGGGACTTTTTGAAGGAAATGTAACTTTGTCTTTGAGCAGCTATAAAAGCCTCAGTGATGACTAACACAATCAATTTAAGCATTACAATATGAACAAGCCACCACGGTACTACACGATGTTCATTAGTAATAAATTTGTGCTGTTAACCCAAGAAAGAGACAAGGCATTGTGTGCTTACTCACCCTTACAAGGCTGGGAGCAATACATGAGCATGGTATCTTGACATTCTTGAGGCACTTTTCATGTGACATGAAGTTGCAAACTGTGGAAATAAAATAAGAATCATGAGGAAGTCTTCACAAACAAGGGACTTTGTGAAAAGCAAACAAACAAAAAATTATATGGAGTCAAATACAACTAGGAACACATCTTTTTAATCACATTTGCTCTCCCCTAGGTTTGAGAACATGCATGACTGTCACACTTCTTGCAGTGCATGAACTCCAGCTCGTTTTGTTACTTAGATGTTGGCAATGGAAAACGAAGGAGAGTTTATCCCAATGCATTAGAGGCCTACAGCAAATCATGCCCTCCCACACTCTCTCTCCATAAGCACCAAAATCAGCTCTTAAATTTCAAGAGAGATTTTTAAGCAGTCTAAAGTCCAAAATAGCTCTTTGATGTAGCCAAAGCAGATGGATATGTTTGAAAGTGAAATTATTCTACAAGCTAGTGCACATGACTAAACGTGCAAATGGGAGAAAGCACAGTATTGTTACACACTGAACGTAATGGATGAAGGACACAAAACTAAAGGTCACCAGTTGCACACAGCCTCAAAGTCAAGAGCAACTAACTGTATCTTTTACTGTGGAAGCAACAGGTTTAGAATTCCACCTGAGCTACACAGAGCACGCTTTCAAGCAAGGCAGTGTTTGAAAAAAATAATTTCTCACAGGGGTGATATTTTCCACCGATTCTTACAATGGATTTACATGATGTGAAGCTGTGCAAAGAAAACAAGGGATTCTTTATTTCATTCCCACCACCTCACATTAATTAGGAACTAATAAGCCATGCAGCTACAGCTTTAGAGTCCCCCTCATTTCAGAGCTGCTCTCTACCAGCTGTAGTGTGAAGCTTTACACAGATGCTCAGGCCCTGACCTCTCACGGGGAAGCACAGACCTCTCCCAGCGCCTGGGGAGTGGCAACTGTTGCTGCACACAGGAGGTTTCTGCAGGTCCCTGCTTTTCAGAAGCATGCTGTACCACTTCCTAAGTTTCACCGGCAACTGAAAAAACCCCGGTGTGCTTCAAGCTTCCCATTTACAGCCCACTGCCCTTACTGATTTTATGTGCTAGTGCCATCAAAAGCAGACAATTTTCCTCTCCTCCTCCTTCTCCAGCTCATTAACTTCTGATTTCACAACACTGCTTCTCCCATGCCAATTCAAGCATTAAAATCCAGGTCCACTTCTCTATGAGGCTTACTGCCAGTCCATACAAAGTAACCCTTCCTTTTGGTGGCACAAAAAGAAGGATGGCCCCTTTCACCACTTTCACATTGGCACTCATCTTAATGTGAGCAGTAGGCAGAGGTTTGTTTCTCATTAGTCTGCAAAAGAAAGTCAGAAAATTAAATAAAAGAATTAGTCAGAAAAATAAGAAGCACTGCAAGTCACTACTGCATACAAACATGTTACTCATCATCCATGCTTGAACACAGAATGATCACTGCACTGATGAAAGAGAAGTGGGAACAAAGCAGATCCAAACCTTCTGCTGGGTGCTACGGAAGTGTTATGTGCACCTTTAAGGTTGACAGCATTCCTGGCTAAATGGGGCAGATAAGGCATCCATGAGCCACCGGTGCAAAGCTGAGCCCCAGGAGCGCCCCAGTGCCAGTTCTGAGCATGCTAGCGTCACCGAGGCAGTGGAGCTGGGGACACGTGAATAACGCCCTGCCCCGGCGCGGGCTATTTATTGAACATATACATGTTCCTTTTCTGAGTTAAGTGAAGGCGGCCTGTCCACCTTTGCCAAGACCGGTCTTGAGCAGGTAGTTTAGTGTGACATGTCACGATACCAAGCCCATGGGTCCCAACATACTACTATGCCCTACCTGTTCCACCTCTCACCCAAGCTTTGTCGCCCCTGGCCTTGCATGGGGTGGGGAGGTCCCACCACCTTTCTTACAAATCACTTTATTTACAATCACTCAGTAATAGGATTACAGAGTTCATGCCTGACCCAGACGCCCAGCATGGTTTACAATACCTGATGGCTTTAAGTCCTTGGCCTTTTGTTCCCAGTGGGGTCCTCCCCTGCACTCTGCCCAGGTACTCAGTCCTGACATGGCATTTCGTCCAGGACCTTTGGGTGGCAGGCCGGTGTTGGAGCCCAGGACAAAGTTGATGGCAATGGTATACATGGGGCTGGAGCCCTGATCGGTGAGACTTCCCTCGCCGCCCCGCCCCTCCTCTGGCATGGGCTGATGGTATTGCCTCTGAGACTTGTCGTGGTTGGAATCTCATACACCTCAGGAAATGGCCATGTGAGGGTGAGTCAAAGCATGACAACCTCACCCTCCAAGATTGTCAGACTGTGCCCAACTGTAACCTGTGAGCATAGGCCCTGGCCAACGGGTCAGATGACCTCAACGTCATAATTTTTTTTCACCATTAGGGATACTATTGAATGGTCGGAGAAATCCATTGATAGGGAGGAAGGAAGCATAACTCCCTGGTTGGGGCAGAGGTCCACTTAGCTACCCATGAAGGGCGCCCAGCAGGACCATGAGGAGGTGGGACCTCTGCAGCTGAGCCCGGTTAGCAGCTATGATCCTGTCTCAAGAGAGTCATAAAGACATGGAAACAGTCAATAAAGGGGTGATAAAGTGGATTCTCAGAGCTGAAAATGCAGATGCCCAATACGTTTGCAGGTGGTTACTATGGAGGAAGGAGCACACAGCCCATCAGCACAGAGGAGACCAAAGAGAACAAAGTGATTGTCTGGGCAGAGGAAAGATGCATCTCCTGCTCCAGAAAACAGGTATGACCCCACACAGGGAACTGGTGAATTCTTTTTAAATTCATGTATGTGGATGTGGATGGACGTAACCTACTCTCTCCTCAGGTCTCTGCAACATTTCTACTGATGCTTTTAGGAGGATCAGGTGGTTGCCATGACAGCAGAGGCTGTAGGAGAGAAGCTACCTGCCCGTTACCAGCTAATCTGAAATTTACCACATATGCCCTGCCACTGCCAGAAGACATTTGTCCCAGCCATTTGTTTAGGCAGCCTCTTCCCTGTCCCACAGGTGGTGTCCAAAGCTCAGCTGAACCTGGCTGGGTGAGGCTCTGCAGGCAGGGGGTTCCCACAGCTCCAACCCACCAACAGACTTTTTTCTGGTTCCGAAGCAGGAGGCTAGAAAGGAAAGAACAGAGCAAGGTGCTGCAGATTGCTCCCAGAAATGTTATGATCTGCAAGAAGCAGCAGACAACTGAACTCTGCAAGACCAGTATCTCCAAGTGGCCACTACCTTTATCCTAAGCGCACACACAATAACTCAATACACAAGTTAACCAAGCCCTACACAAACACCTCAGGGAATTCAGAGAAGGCGGCTCCAAATCAGCCGATGGAAGTGAGGCTTCTTCCACAGGTAGGGACCTTGAGAAATGTTCTCCATTTATTCAGACAGCTCAAGTCACTTTTTCTCTTTGCAGTGACAGAAGGAGCAAAGCATGGTCCTGCATAAAGACAGCATCTCATGGGGCAATGGGCACAAACTGAAGCAGAAGAGGTTTCAGTTGAATATACGGAAGAACTTCACTTTGAGGGTGACAGAGCACTGGAACAGGCTGCCCAGGGGGGTTGTGGAGTCTCCTTCTCTGGAGATATTCAAAGCCGACCTGGATGATGTCCTGTGCAACCTGCTCTAGGTGAATCTGCTTTAACAGGAGAGTTGGACTAGATGATCTCCCAAGATCCCTTCCAACCCTTGCGATTCTGTGATTCTGTGATGAGAAAACATCTCACGACACAGAAAAATATAGTAAAGAAGAATTCAAAACAGCAACTTCAGACATGCAGTAAAATCAAAAGGTCAATGAAGGTTTCAAACAAGGCGTAAAATAGGAAGGTACATAAAGGTTTCAATTATTTGACTGACTGTATACAGGAAAAGGTAACATGCAAAATAATGAATTTCCTAAAATTTCAAGGGAGAAACTGAAGCATTTCCAAAGAATCAAATTAATGACTATCAGGAGACAAATGGCAGGAGATCAGCAGTGCCCAGAGATTGTAACACTCTCCATGAAAGATTTTCACTCATTTTTCATGGGTATCAGTCTCTCCTCCCAAGTAACAAGCAATAGGACAAGAGGAAACAGCCTCAAGTTGCGCCAGGGGAGGTTTAGATTAGAAGTTATGAAAAAATTATTCACTGAAAGGGTTATCAGGCACTGGAATGGGCTGCCCAGGGAAGTGGTTAAGTCCCCATCCCTGGAGGTATTTAAAAGCCAGGCAGACAAGGTGCTTAGGGACATGGTTTAGTGGTGGACAAGTACAGTTGGATTCAATGATCTTAAAGGTCTTTTCCAATGAAATGATTCTATGATTCTTCTATGAAGATGAGCAGGTATGATTTCAAGAGACATTGACAGAATCCATAAAATCGTTCACTTGCAGGTTTGGGGGACTTCATGTGGTGTCTCTGAGCACCTAGCTATATGGTCAGGTGTACAGCAGCAACCGCATTTGACAACTTTCCCTTGCTCCCCACCTCTACACTCAATAATAAATGACTTCATTCATCGGAAAAATTTGATCTTCCCAATGCACAGCAAGAAGCCAGGTAGCAATCAGGCACCACAGGACTGCTCCCTGTCCACACTGAGCACAAGACATGGCTTTACAGCAGTTTCTGCCCATAAGCCTTCACCTCCCAGGGCCACTTTCCCTATCACATTTTCTTTGACTTGGTGATTTAATAAAGAAAAAGGCAATGTGTATGTATGGCAACATGCAGTGAACATATAGCCAGTACTCTCCAACATACACTTGCAAGGAAACAGAAAACATCTCTCTCCAACCCTCCCTAGGAGGGCAGGAGATAATGGGCATTGCTATAAGCCATGAGCTGTGTAACGCTTGCTCGCAAAGCAAGGGCTATTTACACCCTCCAATACGCCACATTTTTTCCATAGAACCCTTTTTCTCTCTGTCCTCAAGACAGACTTCAAAGCAGATCCCAAAAGTAGGAAGAAAAAAAAGATTATGTCTTGTACAGACTCTAGTAATGTATCAGTGCACCAGCGTATCAATGTATAATGCAACCAATGGGGGGGCGTGGTGAGAATTGCTTATGAGATACCAAATTTAACACATACTCTTCTCCCACTTTTGAAAACAGGTCACATTGAGGACTCCCAAAAAGAGAGCTCTCCTGCACCCAAAGACAGGAGCGAGTTCCTGAAGCCGAGTGCTCTCTCCATGCACACCCTGCATGGCTCATGGCAGACCCACAGTGAACTTCAGCAATTCCCAAGAAACAACACCATATCTTGGCCACCTGCTTGTCACAGAGCCAGCACGAGGAAAATTTCAAACACTGGCATGAAGTGACAACACCACAACTCCTCAACAATCTGGATGACTTGGCAAATAATAATCTCATTATGTTTGAAGTTATCTGTGAGTGCTGTAACTCGTTTGCATTTTGCTCACCTGCACAAATTGTAACTTCCAGCAAGTGCCTGCCAAAGTTTGTTCTAACCTTTTAACAAAGGTTATAGATCAATGAATGACTGATGGGTTTATTCTTGCTTTTAAAACAAGCCATTAGCTCAGCTTGTTTTCCCAGCTATCAGTGCACAATAATTTTTTCTTTTCTGGAAAAACTTAAGTGCGATGCATTAAAGAACATACTCAGCTCATTAATGTGAATATAAATAAAACTAAATGAAACACAGTAATTCTCTGGGGCATCTTGTTAAACGTAAGACTTGGAAGAAGTCCCTGTCTTGGAGAGTTTACTGGACTGGATGGCCTGATATAAGTAGGAGTATTACATAAATGAAAACTCTCTCCAGTCCTCTACAAAAAGCCCTATAAATGTACATAGATTACATGTAAGAATTACAAGGGGGATTAAAAAAAAAAAAACAAACCTTCTTGAAGACCTAATGTTGCATGAAACTCCCATGGACTCGCCAGCAGCTCAGCCGCTGCATGGACAGTATGTGCAAACTGTGAGTTTATATTGTGGCACAGAGGTGGCTTTTGTGCCACTCCTCCCCATTCCTTTCCTAACAAGGTCTAGCATTCAATTTGCCTTTTTTTGACAATTACACTGGGCACATTTGCCTAGAGATATCATTACAACTCTAACTTCATTTCTTGCCTGATCTGTAAAAGCTGACTCAAGGTCCATCAACTTCTAGGAGTATTTTTCCCCCTTCACAGATACCACTTTACATTAATCCACCCCAGGCAATAAAATGCTAGATTAAAATTAACTCACTTAAAAGAGTCTTCTGCAATGCTCAGCAGCTGATGTCCAATGTGAACTCTCAGCTCAGTACAGGCCTTTGTAGAGGGGATGGTGGGCTCTTAACAAGACAGCTGAGTAGCACATGCCATCCTAAGACATCGCTGCCACGAATCAACCTGCAACCTTGTTAGCATTCATTGCTTCCCTCTATCGTTTTTGTCTGCCACCCAAACCCAGGCCTGCAGTCAGTCTGGTTTTATTTTAGCATTTCACAGGATGTGAATCCCATCTTTCAGTTACAGAGGGAACCTTCCACATGCAGAACCCTCAGTTATATCCGTCTTCTGCAAGGATGCTCAGAAAGACAAGACAAAGAAAAGGCTGCAGTTATGGCTAGCAACTGACTCGGGCACTGGACCAGTGTCTGGGTGGCCAGGGGAGTGTTGTCTACGTTTTCTTGAGTGCATGGAAAGTGTACAGCACAAAACACAAAAAAGCTTCTACCAGATTATATATTGGGCAGCTTTTTTTTCGTCAACAACAGGTGTTTCCAAGTGTTATAGATGATCCCTATCCAAACACATGTCATCTTTAAAAGGTTGTCTTTAAAAAAAGATGAAACAGTAGATGGAGAAACACAGACAAAGTGTTTTAATGTATTTAAAGTGCAGTTTTACTCTTCCTACTGTGAACTGGAACGTGTCTCTGTAGTCACACATATTTTAGGCTTAAAAATTTGAAGTATTCATTTTAAAAATCGAACACATTTATAAATAGCTTCCTGCACCAGATGCAGGTGGTACAGTTATTCCCTCCCCATCTCCAGCTTTAAGGCAACTTCTACTCTTTATCATAACGCCCCCCGCATCCTCAGATTCTCCCTCCTCCTTTCTCACACAACAACGTTCAACTCATTACTCATTTTATACATCAAATAAAACTAATCTGTAATCAAAGTTTTCTTTTTCCACCTGAAATTCCAGCAGCTG